CAGGAACGCAGAACTAGCCAAGGAGAAAGGGAGGTGATCAACTGCTTCATGGCATTCAGCTGAGGCTGGTGGAGAACCATCCAGCCACTCTCCACTCTGTTTGCAGACATCTCCGGTGAAGGAATGGGCAGAGCAATGTTCCCCTGGCTGGGCTTTCTTCGCGGAGGCTTGAAGGAACAACGTTAGTGTTGCAGGCAAGGGACACTGCACGGCGTGAAGGAGGTGCCCATAAGTCCCACCTTGTGTAGTGCTGGACTAAGAGAAGAAAGCTGTCACTGGCAGTAGGTACAATGGGCACAGATCTGGGTTCGAATCCAGTCAAACTTGTGAGCCAGGCTGTGCTCCCCACCGTCCTATCTCAGCCTCAGTTTCCCCTGCTTGCAAAGTAGCTTAGCAGCCTCCTTCTGAGAGCCTTTCGGTGCAGAAAGCAATCAGATCTTTATTGTGCTTTATGTGCCAGCTCCTTCTGCTTGCTGCCTCCCCTGACAGCTCAATAACTGTATATGCTCATAATCTTAACACTTTCCTTCTACGTCATAGGGTGGTTTGTTTTTTTCACAGGGTTTCAAGATGAAAAGATAATTCAGACGGTCTGCAGTCCAGAGCAGTGGTTCTCAAAGCGGCTGGTACTGTTCCCTGGGGCATGACAGTGGGACGTGGGGACGTGGGCGGCAGGGGGACACTGGACGTTGATCAAGTTTATCAGTTTATTGGATTAATCAAGTTAAATAAATTGGATTAATTAAGCTAAATAGTTTTAATTGGATTTTGAATTAATGTGCAATTAATAATTGCACTTCTGAATTTTATTGCGTTATTATCTTCCTTAGTGGGTCATGCAAACCCATTGTTTTTATTCTTTTTTTATTGCACGTTTTGAGTGTTTATCTTGTATTTTTATGCTGTGAACCAGTGGTACCTGTGGGTTAAGTGGGTTAAGTAACCAGTGGGTTAAGTACTTAATTCGTTCCGGAGGTCCGTACTTAACCTGAAACTGTTCTTAACCTGAGGTACCACTTTAGCTAAAGGGGCCTGCCGCTGCTGCTGTGCCACAGGAGCACGATTTCTGTTCTCATCCTGAAGCAAAGTTCTTAACCTGAAGCACTATTTCTGGGTTAGCGGAGTCTGTAACCTGAAGCGTCTGTAACCCGAGGTACCACTGTATATAAAACAATAACAAACAATAATACAAACCACTATTATGAATAATGCATTTTATAGGGTAGGGTGGGTGGCACTGGAGATGAGTTTATGGAACCAAGGGGGCAGTGGCCCCCTCCAAAGGTTTTGGAAAGCACTGCGTTAAAACGTGAAGCAAAACAATCCCCCCCCCCAATGCTCCACTGGGCTCAGGTCAAGCATGCAACATGCACAGCCCTGCCCCCACCCTCAACGGAAGGGAACAGCGGGGTGGGGGGAGGGTGCTAAGGGAAAATGGCCAAGAGAACTTCCATTGCTGCCCCAAGCCCACTCCTGCCTGGAATCTGCCACCTGAGGCAGCCATGCCACTTTGACCAACAGTAGGGACGGTCCTGTGAGGCGTGCTAGCAGGGAGGACATAGCAGGCTCCGGTTCCATTATTCCCCTCTTGTGGAGATGGCTCCCCTCCGCTCTCCCGCGCCGCAGCCCATCTTATTTTCACCTGCAAGACTCGTGATGTGTTGCCAGGGACGGTCTCAGTGATGCAAGCCCAAGGTGTTGTTGCAGCAGTCAGCTGGCTGGCTGGGGAAGCCTTGGGGGCTGCGGGGAGAAGAGCAGCAGCAGCAGCAGCAGCGTCAGAGTATTTCTGGAGCTGGCCACCTCGAGGGAGGAAGAGCAATATGGAAAAGAGCCAGGGAAACACGCCGTGAGGCAGAGAGCAGGTGGCACTAATACCGGGGGGGGGGGGGGCGCTGAAGACTGCACTACTGTTTAGAAATCAGATTGGGCGCAAAGGGGAGGCGGTTGAAGAGAAAGCCTGGGAGGGGGCCGGGAGCAGGACTCAGTTCTCTGGCTTTTTGTTCTCTTTAACCACCAGGGCCAACCCAAGACATCTTGCTGCCCGAGGCACAGGACGAGATGGTGCCTCCACCATCACTACCCGCCATTTACCAGGCTGGCAATCAAATCCTACTTGAACGCTAGCAGTGCAGAAGCATCCTCCACCCCACCTGAAGAGGCTAGTTTAGGGGGTGCCAGGCAGACCATGCGATGGCACGCGCAGCTCCCTCTGGTCCTGGCTGCCCCATATCAGCTTTTGGCCGTGGCAGCTGCCACACTCTGCCTCATGGTAGGGCCGTTCCTTCCTGCGGAGTTGATTTCTCTCCCAGGGAAATCACAGAGCTGCTCTCCCGCACGCCTACTTTATCATTACCAATGAAGATCCACCTCCATCCATTGCTGATGGGATGCTGAGGGCTGAACAGGATGTGGAAATAGTCCTTTCTGTCCAAAGGGAGGTTCAGCATACAGGTACACGGGCCGGCAGGAAGCCTGGGGAAGGAAGGCCACCCCTCCCCACACATTGAAGCCCCTATGATGACACTTGGAACAATCACAGCTTCCCCCAAATAATTCTGGGAACTGTCATTTGTTTGGTGCTGACAGCTGCTGAGAGACCCCCTCACAGAGCTACAATTCCCAGAGTGCTTTTAACAATCACACCCTCTTCCCAGGGGAACTCTGTGAACCATGGCTCTGTGAAGGGAACGGGGCAGGGGGGGGGCTCCTAACACTTCTCAGTTCCCATAATGCTTTGGGAAACCATAACTGCTTAAAGTGGCATCACAAGGATTTAAAGGTGTGGTTTGAATGTGGCCTGACTCTGCGGGGGCAGGTGATTGGCGTGGCAGGAGAGGATGGAGAGTGTAAGTGGGAAAGTTCAAGGACAAACCAAAGAAACATTTCAGCGTAGAATGGTAGTATCCATGCCTCTCTTCAAGGGCCTTGGCTAAAGGTGGCCAAGATGTAGATAAATTGGAAAATAAAGATAGGATGATACCCTTTAATCAACAGGCGCAGACTTTGCTTGGATAATATCTGGAAGGACTTTATATAAAAAAATAGTCGGCTGTTAACATTTGCACAAGTATTAGGATAATAACACTATACCAATTTATATAAGACTGTATGGGAATATCGTATATTGCATTTTTGCGCGCGCGCGCACACACACACACTTTTCAATATGTATGTTTGTTGTTCTCCCCTCCCTCTTTTCCTTCTTTTTTTCTGTATCACTTAATTTCTTTTAATTGGAATCACTTTAATGAAAGATAAATAAATAAATAAGAGCCTTGGCTATTCTTCTACAGATCTCAATGACATATTGTTGTGACCAGGGCTTTTCAACTCTGACAAATGTGAAATATCAGAAAAGAGAAACGCTTCTTTGTGCTGATGAAGGGAGGAGAGTTTGTTTGTCTCAAATTAGACCAAATATAACCCTCCTCACAACAGTGTTGTTTTGGGGATTAAACAAGGAGGGGAGAACCATGCAGCCCACCTTCAGCTTCTGGGAGAGAAAGTGGGATAGAAATGCAACTAATAAGTGGAGGCATTCAGTCAGTGATCCTTGGCATGGCAAAAGGGATGACTACACAAGAGGGTCCCTGTTTCCACCTGGGAAATGGTGCAGGAACTGCTGTAGGGGGAGCGTGGAGGCACACAGGAACCTGACTCAAACACAGAGTTGGGACATTGGCTTATCTAGCTCAGAAGCACAGTCACCATCATTCCTGACCCCATTGGCCATGGGAGTTGGAGTCCAGCAACATCTGGAGGGCACCATAGGCATCGTCAGCCTTGCAACTTTCTCTGCATGGCAGGCAAAAATTATTTCCTCGTCCAAAAGCCTTTCCTGTTAGGGAGAACTGACCTATTTACTGAACTTGGCTCGTGCCCCTGCCATGTTTATTCGGGGTGTGTATGCGAAAAGGTAGTGTGTCCGAACAGAATAAGAGCCCTGCTTGTTCAGGCCCATGTCCCATCCAGTCCAGCATCCTGTTCTCACAGTGTCCAACCAGATACCCTAATGGGCAACCATGAGGCAGGATCTGACCACATGAGCCCTCTCCTCTTCTGTAGTTTCCAGCAACTAGTGTTCAGAAGCACCACTGCCTCTTGACAGTGGAGGTAGTATACAGCCGTCTTGGCTGTATTTTGAAAGTCAGAAGCCATTTGATGGACCATCATCAAGGCCATTATATACTGCTCCATATAGCCACCCAGTTGGTCTTGCCAATGGGAGGTCTTGAAAGGGATCCATCCTTCCTCCACTCCTCCCTTCCCACCAACCTACAGGCATATGTACACACACACACACACACACACACACACACACACACAGCCTTCGCCAGCCTGATGCCCTCCAGATGTTTTGAACTACAACTGCCAAGCTGATGAGAGTTGAAATCCAAAACATCTGGAGGACACCATGTTATGGAAGGCTCTCTTAATGGGCCCGGCATCTCAGGCTGGGACTCCTTGTATTCACAACAGTAACCAACATGAACCAGTTTCCTTTAAGTGGTTTTATTACTGGTTAGATTTTTACAAATTCTGATAGCTGAACAGACTTTTCACTTTTAAAATTCTAAAACATCAGAACAATCAATGAAGGGCTTAGGACTAATTCAAAGTAACAAAACTCTTATTAACATTTTTTTTTCATTTTTTTTTTCTTCTTCTTCTTTGTGTTTGTTTGTTCTTTGCCCTGGTCATAAATACACAGAGAGGAAAAAAGGAGATGGGCGTGGGGGGGGGGGCTTGGGTGTGATCCAGAGGATGGGAGAACAGTATATAAGGCACATGGCAGTCTTTGAAAATTACAGAAGCTTTAGCCAACTTAAATTAATTGCTGTTTCCCTCGCCCAGTCCACAAAACTGTACATTGACACAAATGTTGTGTGGCAAGTTGCTCTTCCAAGTGAATCCTCCGTCCGCCCTGTGACCGTCACACCAGACCGAACCGTGCTGCTGTTCTCCTTCTCCTCAGAAATACCCTACGCTGTGGCTAGCCCAGCTGTGAGAAAGTCTCTAGTAAAAATACGCTTGGAACTCAACTAAGAGTAATTTCTTTTTCAAAGGAAAAAAAAAGAAGAAGGGAGGGATGAAGGAAGGGAGAGAGTCATCAGAAAAGATTTGTGAGCGTTGTCTGTGAAGGGCTCCGAGATTCGTGGACCTCCAAGCCCCCGGGCACCGAGGTCAAGACCGAGGTGACTGATGGCATACTGGGGTTTGTCAAGTCCGTTAAGGTAGTGGGGGTGCTGGACGGGCTCATGGAGGTGTTGGAGATTTCGGAAGCAGGGCCCGAAGGCGTTCCGGCCTGGAGGGTCGAGTCAGACGTCTTGTCCACCCCTGTGTTCTCTTGGCGTAAGAGGTTCCGTCTGAATTTAGCACGCGCGTTTTGGAACCAGACCTACAACCAGTCAACAGGAGGGTGGGGGTGAAGGGAGAGAGAGAGAGAGAGGGTGGGGGGACTATCAGTGGGTGGTTTCATTTCAAAGCCCCAATTGGTAAGCATGAAAAATATACATTTACAATGCGAAATGGATACAACAACTGAAGCATTTTCAAAACAAGACGAAATAAAATACTGAAATATATATTCATAGCTATTATTCCTTTCATTTTGTAATATTTCACTACCATGTGCTCTTGTTGAGCATCAGTATTGTGGAACAACTTGTCCCTTCCATGGTTCTCTTTTGCTGGCTGGAAAATACATTTTTATACAGGCAGACTTTTGCCTGCTAATTCTTACCTGTGGTGGTCATTTCTACCTCTAATCTTTGCCACTGTCAGTTTTTAAATGCATCCCTCATGCTCCGCATTGTATGTATTTTTAATTTTTTTTGGGGGGGAGACTCTAATTTTTGATACCTTTTAATTGTTTTGAAGTGTCACAAGCCATCCTGAATAGTGCATGGACACCAGGAAGGCAGGATGAATTTTTAATAAATAAACAAATAGCTCACGTTGTATCCAACTACATTTTACCCAGAGTAGACCCACTGAATTAAATGGGCATGACTAACTTAGGTCCATTCACTTCCATCAGTCTACTCTTCAGCAGAACTTAAGACAACACCTTGCAACTGTATGTGCAATAATAAATTAACAATAATTATAATAAAAACAGTAAGATTGTATGAGTCGGAAGGAGAAAATACCTTGGCCTCCCTGTGGGGAAAACTGCACATTGTGATTCAAGAACAAAAGTGCTCACAGTTTCACCTGGCTGAGCAAAACTGCTTGTGTCCTTGTCTAAGCGCATTGATGCACAGGAGAAAACACGTTACTGATTGATTGGTTTTCATTATTGCGTTTAAATCCAAAGCCATGTTTCCCAGGAAACGTAAGTACCTAAGAAGAGCCTGCCGGATCAGGCCGACGGCCCCTCTAGTCCAGCATTCTGTCCCCCCAGTGGCCCATCAGATGCCCATTGTGGGGAAGTCATTGCTGGCTCCAATTGCAGAGGCAGAGTGAAGTCATCATCCATAGCCTTCTCCTCCATGAATTTCCCTAATGCTTTTCTAAAGCCATCCAGGCTAGAGGCCACGACCACTTCCTGTGGGAGCAAATTCCATGGTACAAACAACCTCCATCGGTTTTGCCATGACAGCTCAGCTCCACCAGGCCTCCTCTCCCCACAACTCTCCCCTGTCGGGCTGCCTGTGGGAGAGATACGAAGCAGGAGACTCGTTCCACCTGCTTTGATGGAGGCCAAGGTCCACCAGGTACCTCCTGCCAGCTGACCAAGACAAGAACAGTTTTGGCTTTCCTCTTCCCCCCTTCCCCCTTGTGTGTTGTATTTTTGTTTGTTTGTTTATTCGAATGTAAGCCTGCGGATAGGGAGTGTCTTGTTTTGATTTCATGTAAGCCACTCTGGGAGGCCTTTTGGCTGAAGAGCCCAGAACAAATGCTCTATGTAATAAAATAATCTCTTGCCTTCGCTGACAACAATCACATATTCAAGCAGAGAGCACAAGACAGGCTCAAAGGTCTCTTAAGCCTCATGCTTCAGGCCTTTTAAAAAAATGAAATGTGGATATACCACCCTTCATCCAAAGATCTCCGGGGGGTTCACAGCATAAAAACACAAGATGAAAACAGAAAATACATAAAAAGGAGAACAAGAACAGAGCAAACCCATAACCAACCCCTCCCTCCCACAAACCCATTTCAAAGGATATAGGATGTTGGTCAGCCAAAGGCCTGGCTGGAGCAAAACGTTTGCCCCTGGTGCCTAAGGGTGTATAATGAAGCTGCCAGGCGGTCCTTCTTGGGAAGAGCATCCCATAAACAGGGAGCCACCACAGAAAAGGATCGTTCTTGTATTGTCCCCCCTCTAGACCTCTCATGGAGGAGGCACATGAAGAAGGGCCTCGGGCGACCATCACAGGGTTCAGGGAGGTTCATATGGAGAGAAATATTGAGGTCCTGTGTTCTTTCTACAATTTATTTATTTTTTTTAGATTTATGGTATATGCAGGCTTCAAGGAAGTCATGTTTTAAAATGAGTAAGTTGCTTATTTATCAGAGGGAAGGAAAAGGAAGCTGGGAAAAGATATGCAACACTTTCACATTTGGCTGCCCAAGGTACACAGTCCTGGGGGTGTTCTGTCCATTCACAACTCTGTCTCTTCCGAGTCAGCCTTAAAGCAAGAAACGAAACAATAGGGGAGGCAGAAGGTCTGGGTTTCTGGGTTCCTGGCCTGCATGTGGCCCGCTTTGTGGAAGGAAGAGAAACAAAGAGAGCTGTGCTAGTCACCCTGATTAACGACTTGTAGGGGAAATCATGCAAAGCTTTATGGGGGTAAAACATCCCCCCCCCCACACACACACACACGTCAGGCTGATAAAGATGTGTTTATGGCAGGAACATATCCAACACCCATTTCATTTCTGAAAAATTACAGTTGTTTGATTGGGAAGAATACTTAGATTCCCCCTTCTTAGCCCCACAATGGGCTCCTTCTAGCAGTCCATGTTGTTGTAGTTGTAGTTGTAGTTGTTCTTACCACACCTCTTTCCCTGATGGGACTCAAGGTAGCTTACAGATAAAAATGAAACTGTTTAATGAAATTATTTAAAAAAAAGTAAACATGGTTAGAACCACATACATACATCAAACCTATTAAAACCATAGAAATAATTACAATAAAAACAACACAGCACCAGCCCTTTCATTAAAGCAGTCAGTTCCCAAAAGCCTGTTGAAATGAAACAGTCTTCACTTCCTGGCGGAAGGACAGCAAGGAGGGAGCCAATCTGGCTTCTCTAGGGAAGGATTTCCAAGGTCGGGGGCAGCCACCGAGAAGGTCCTCTACCATGTCACCCCCAAAGCATGCCTGCGAGGGTGACAGGAGTGAGAGAAGGGCCTCCCTGAAGATCTCAGAGCACAGGCCACTTCATATGAGGGAATGCAGTCTTTCATATACAGTCTTCCATGTAGCACAAAGCACTGCACTAAAGACGAGACACGGAATAAATATTACTTAGCTCAGCATTACCCTACATGGGGCTACCTTTGAAGGTGACCCGGAAACTACAGCTAATCCAAAACGCGGCAGCTAGACTGGTGACTGGGAGCAGCCGCCGAGACCACATAACACCAGTCCTGAAAGACCTACATTGGCTCCCAGTACGTTTCCAAGCACAATTCAAAGTGTTGGTGCTGACCTTTAAAGCCCTAAATGGCCTTGGTCCAGTATACCTGAAGGAGCATCTCCACCCCCATCGTTCTACCCGGACACTGAGGTCCAGCTCCGCAGTTCCCACATTGCGAGAAGTGAAGTTACAGGGAAACAGGCAGAAGGTCTTCTCTGCAGCGCTGCCCTCCCTGTGGAATGCCCTCCCATGCCAAGGAAATAAACTTCTATATAGGGAAGTTTTTAATGTTTGATGTTTTATTGTGCTTTTATTTGTGTTGGAAGCCGCCTAGAGCAGCGGGAGCCACCAAGCCAAATGGGCAGGGTATAAATACTAGAATTATTATTGCTGTTGTTGTTATGCCCTTATGGAGGCCCAGTTCTTGTTGGCCAAAATCTCAAGTGATGAACTTGTGAACCAGCCCTAAGTGGTGTTGGGTCAAACTAAGCCAGAGGCTCCGATCCTGGTGGTGCCCTTCCACTGATTCCATGTAAGTTTCAGCTTTGTAAACTTACTCGCTTCCTCACTCTCCCAAAACCTAGACACTTCAGCATCCTGGAAGCTTCCTGGCAGGTCAGGGGAAAGTTGGATTTCAGCTGCTCAAGGGCTGCATTAATTTTTATTACTAATATCCCACCTTTTCCCCAGACCAGGGCTCACGGCTGCTTATGCAAATTAAAAACAACACAGACAAAATACAAAAAGCTAAAAACATACAAATGATAAGTATCAAAAAGTGTTTAAACTCTAACAGAATTAAAACAATATAAACAAATTTACTGAAATAGAGATAATAAAAACAGCTCGGCACTATTAAAAGCCATTTCCTTAAAAGGCAGTCGCTTCTGAAAGGCCTGTCAGAATAAAGCAGTCTTCAGTCGCCAGTGGAAGGACGGCAAGGAGGGAGCCAGTCTGGCTTCTCTGGGGAGGCAGTTTGGACATAACTGGATGTGACGCCATTAGCAGAATTAGCCTGACAAATCACTTCGCCAACTAAGAGCAGCCACACAGCACCAGCCACAGAATCAAGAAAGAGCTATCAGTCTGTCAGTCCTTTCCGTTTCCAGGCCCTGAGTTCCCAAGGAGTTCTGGCTCCAAGCGGCTCTTCACACTGTAACTCTGAGCTCACAAAAGCCCCATTCCATTCAGTGAGAACTTCTGGACATGACTCTGACCACTTAATAATAATTGTGTTCATCAACAAAGCTGGGATGGAAGGTTTTTTCAAGCAGACAAGAGTAGCTGGATCAGTGTTCCAAAGTTCTGGCACAGTGGCATAGTGTGGGTTGCTAGCACCCAGGGCAAGGCAAGTATTGAGCCCCCTGACCCACAAACCATTGGCACTCCTTGACTGCCTCCCTCCAGTCCAGTATCGAACCCCTTACCCACCCCCAGCACATGTACCGTATTTTTTGACCATAACACTCACTTTTTTCCTCCTAGAAAGTAAGGGGAAATGTCTGTGTGTGTTCTGGAGGGAATGCCTACGGGTGGCATGCCTACAGATTTTCCTCCTCTAAAAACTATGTGCGTGTTATGGTCGGGTGCGTGTTATAGAGCGAAAACACGGTATTTTAAGAAAATACTGATGTTATTGAAGTAAAATGCATTAAATGCTAGTATATTAAAAGTGATTTAGAATCACCTGCTTTTAATTTTTTGCAAATTTTTAAATACCGGTATTGAAATCTACATTGAAATCTCTCTCAGTTGACAGTATTGCTATGTTACTCAGTCTTTCTTGGCTCATTGTAGATCTCTGAT